ATGTGCAGTAGACGTGCAGGAAACTTAATTTGAGGATTGAAGGATTATATGGAGAGTCTGTTTGGAGGTTGCAGAATGAGATTGGGGGGGCGGTGTTATGTATTATAGATATTTTAAAATATTTTGAATAAACTAGGAACTTATTCAATCTCTGCTTTTTCTACTTGTTAGATAAAGTTTCCTCGTTTTGCTTTCCTCCGTGCATCGTCATAATTAATCCCGGTCCCGGGTCTCGACTGCCCGCACGTAACATGCAAGGTTTCACTTTGAAATCAGTGGAAGATCCTGGCTTATCTTTATAGCTATATTAATGTATATGCCATTTAAAAAGCATCTTCATAAGAAGTCATGAAGGGAGTATTCAGAAGAAAATATTTCTCTCCTTATACCTTGGGGATATTTTAATCTTTCAATCAATCATGCAATATTTAAATAGTATGGGGAGAGGCTCATTGAAATTTTTTCTATGAATAATCTTATGCCGTAGTTTGAATACATTGTCTGCAAGTTTCTTGTGTGCTGGACATGTCCTCCGCCCCCGTACTTTTTGGTGTCGGAAGGTCAAAATACCCAAATGCAAAGATTCGAAAGAAAAAAATGTTCAGAAAAGTACCCCCCTCCCTAAAATAGAACTCAAGGTGTAGAATTTACGCAGAAAAGGTGTGGTGTACAGGTTGCCGCCCTGTGTTTTATTTATTTATTTTTATTTTTGCTTTGTTATATGATTATAAGAGAAGAATAATTTGATCAAATTAATGTTTTTGGTATTTGGAAAAACATATATATTGGTCATTATTAACCCTATCAAAAGTTCTAGTAATCCAAAATATAAACGGGGGTATGGATCTTTGGATAACCTTTATATTTGCCCCCCAACTGAGAGGAAAATGGTAACATCAGTAAAAGAAGATATTCATTGCTACGGTAACTTCAAAGTGTTCAAATTTGAATCTTTCCGGAATTTTGTTATCAACTTTGATTTGTGTTTTATCTATAGTATACTCACAATGCCTTGCTTGTTCATGATGTATGATTGAAGCACCGAAAATACTAACTAGAGGGCAGCTTATTAAAGTTGAAAATGTTAGTCAACAAGATTTTGTCTGTCCGTAAATAAATGGAATTATTTTAAAAAGATGGATATGTAATTGGTATTTGAATTTGCACGAATACTAATTTGAAAAACAAGATGTTAGTTACTATTGAAATTTTTTCCAAAATAAATCTGTTTTCTTTATCTACTTTGTTTACTCTTTTTGTACATTTTTTTGTGCAAAATATTCACCTGTTGAGCGAGGCAGTGTGGTTCAGCCTTGGAAAAGAAAATCATTGACGGGCTTGTGTCTGTTGAACTTTAAATAACTTTTGCAAGTGAAAATTTAAAGTCCTCAAATTACATAGAAAAATACAAAATACTTATTTTTGTTTTAGATTATGAACTAGTTGACAACCCCTATGCTAAAAAAGTACACTGCTTGTTCTTGTAACTTCAAGTGACGATTTTTCGGGATCGGCCTTGACTAGATTATGGTAGCTTTTTGACTTTTTCATTAGCAATGAGCTTAGTAGAGTAAAGATGATGACTAATGCAGCTTATTCAAAGTATTAAGCGATATGTCTTAGCATTCAGACGTAAGTAATCAAAAGGTGTAGATTTGATTTATTATGTCCGTAAATATTTTTCTAATGGTACATGGTATTTTAAAGCCGAGTCTGAGGTGACGATGTGCTAAGCACGTGCTGATATCTAGGTCCATGTAAGCTGGGTAAATGTGTAAATGCAGAAACATAAAAAAGATAAGAAGTTGCTATTAGACAAAGGTGATAAATACTAGTTGAATTACCTTCTAGCTGGATACAAAATGTTTAGTTGCACTATGTTTACAGGACAGAACCGCTCAAAAGTAAACATCCATACACATAACAATTGAAACTTCCTCATATCTCAAGAATAATTAACCCTTGCAGTTATCTACTACATGTACATAAGTTTTCCTATAAGGTAAAAAAAAGTTTGATAAACAAATATTACATTATTATTGTCAAAATGGGTTCATGAGAATATCAAAGATGTTTTATTAATTAAGAATATCCATCTCCATTAATTAAAATTTCTAAATTCAAAATAAAAGATTAATGTTAAGAGATCAACTTTTATCTGTCCCACTCATGCATCTTATTCTTCCCTTTTTCCATGAAAGGGAACCTTAACCCTAATTCTCTCCGTGCCAGGAGGCACACAAAGCCTGTGGTGAATGTTTGATTCAGTGTCACAAGGGATCTAGTCGGACGGTGGGCTTCCCTAAGGCTTTCACCCCACGTCGTCTTAACTGCCATTATTGGCGGTCCCTGTTTCACAAAGTCTTTGTCGGTCTTTGTTGTCCATTGTCTGTGTAACTGTGGATTTTTTCCGGGAGGAGGTAGTCGGCCTACTGCCCAACCCCCAAGCTTGGAGGACCAGTGGTTTTCTGTCAGGGTGTCCTTCCCTTATGCTGCGTTGGTCCACGGCACCTTCAGTCTATCTGGTGCACCCCTCACTTATTGAGGGATCCCCTATCCGCCACCCGGGGGACGCGCCTCCTAGCCGTGCAGCCCCAGCCGAAAGCTCATGAAAGGCAGCGGAAATGAAATCTCATTTGTCTGTGTTACAAAAAACTTTAACTTTGGTCGTATACCTTTTGAGTGAGAAGAGAGGGTTTTTATATTTCACATGTAGATTACCTTTCCAAATTTGCTATACCTGATTTTTTACCATGTGAATTTGACCTTGAAATTTGACATACTTTTCGATAATTTTAAAAAATACTTTGAATTGGTGATAACTTTTGACAGAGAAGAGATAGGGCTTTTAAATTCATATTAAATTTATATATAACTTATGAGTAGTCATGCAATAAATTTTCACGGCAGTAAGTAGGAATCGGTATGAGGTCTTATAATGAGACTGTAAAAATTAGTGATATGTAAACTTGATAGATGAACATCGATGTTTATTATTGAGTGTAGAACATTGTAATTAGTTACTAAACTACCCAATTGCCATCTTCTAATGCTGCAGTGGTCATTAAACACTGTTAAATGATAAAATTCTAATCTAGCTGGGTCAAACTTTTGTTAAAAATAGATCAAACTACAGGGTGTTGCTAAAAAAATTTACCTGCCTCTGATTTCTTGTATTTTTGAGAGGTTAATTTCATATCTCTTCATTTCATATCTAAAAACAAATTACTGACATAAAATATGCTACATAAAACCTATGTTTTACGATTTGCCAAAAAAAAAAAAAACTAACTGAGTTGATGTATCAGTAGTATTATATCAAAAGTAAAATTTGACCTTAATCACAATGTTTTGATGATGTTACTCTTAATTAATTTAACTGAACTGATTTTATTTTGAATACTAACAATTTCACTTCTATAGAAAAAGAATAGAAAAATTAAATGTCAAATACTGGGTTTGTGTTGCTTAAAACAAGATGCCTTTTAAGATAGTTATTTACACTTCAGATAATAAAAATTATTCAACAAAGTAATTTTTTAAATTTGGGATAATTGTGTTTATAAATATTAATAAAATATGTGTGTGATTGTATTGATCTTATGCGGAGACTTGATTTGCAGGAAAAAAAAAAAAATGTAGCAATGATTTTAATAAAATCATTTAATTTTAATTCAAGTTTTTGGTGTAGTCTAATTTTTGATGACCCAAATTCCTAGATGCATTTGAGAGAAAAAAAATTTAAAAATTGCTCTAAAAAGTATGTGATCTCTAAAATTAAATTTTTAGTTTTTCTGTCATAAAAATATACGATGTATGCAATTTTTGTGACAATGAAAACCTTTGAAACTTTTGAAATTAATCAAAAATTCTAAATTGATTTTTATCCTGTGTTTTTAAAGTTTGATATCTTGTTATTTTTCATGTGTGTGGAGGACCCTTAAAGTTTGACCTATTTTTTCATAAATTTTTAACATTACTTCAAATCGGTCACACATGTAACTTTGCCATATATATCCTAATGACATTAAATATTGGTTGAAATTCAACTGTAATGTAACTCTTCTTTTGTGTTCACATGCAAACTATCACTGTTTCCATATTCAGTATGTTTCCTTGTCCAAGTGACGATAGATGAAAGAAGGAAATTATATTTATGCACATGATGTAGCTAGTACATGTGGTATGTTTGCTAAAAAAATTACGTTATATTTTGTGTTTATTGTGTTCACATATTATTGTAAATGAAATTTATATTACAATTTTACACTTATCAAAACTGAGAGACAATATGTAGTGAACTAGTGATATATATATCAAATATGCCTTGACCATTTAAGATGGTAAGAGTTCTCAAAGACAAAAAAATCTGAGTTATTATGTACTTGATGGAAAAAGGTTATTTTACCAATTACTAAAATGTAGTCAAATTGACATTAAATGAAATAATGGGAGTTGACTAAGTCTTAAATTTTATAACACAAGATAAAACATCTTTTTATTTACTGCTTCAGGGGAAAAGGTGCCATGGAATTCTCAGCCCACATCTGCAACACAAATAAAAGTTTAATCTCAATTCTTAAAATGAAATTTTACCCTTGATTTTAAGAGTCACATGAACATAAACATAAATTTTTGATGACTACCAGTATCATGCAAAATCTTATCATGCAATGATTACTAAATTACCAATGGATTCTGACTGCGATTCATTTAAAAGTAAATTTCTGTATCTTTGTGTCCAGTTAATGTTGAGATATTACCCTTTTTTCACATCTTTTTTGTATGATGTCAATTAAATTGCTCCTTGGTCTCAAATGTTGTTTGCTATATAAATATTGTGATGCTGAGGTTTTCATAAAGAGAACAAATCATAAATGACAAAAGATGCTAAACAATGCCCATTCTAAACAAAATATAAAGATAGAAATTATGAAAACAATGCATTTTTAAAAATATTGAATCTGTTAGTTCATTATAGAATAATCATTAGACAAGTTCTATCTTGTTTTTAAATAAACTTTAACAGCATCATGATAGCTGTAATATACTGGCATGGCCTCTACTCTTGCTTCCATCTGTTCTGTAATGTAAACATGATCTAACACTGAATTGCTGTCTGTTGTTGAAAAATTCACTTTTTGTTGAAATCCACTCATTTCTAACATTCTTTGAATCGGTCCTTTGGATTGTGCATCTTCGTTGAAATCGCCAAGTATAAGGCATTGAGAAAACGATTCTCTATAGAAATCTACAACTCTCTGAAGGGAGTCAAGGAACCAACCGACACTGAGAGAATTTGGTCGATATACTATGATGATAACCGTGTCCTCCTCACAAAGTTCTACAGCCATTCCTTCGATATTTTTCCGAGGTAAAACATGAACTAAAGCTTTTTCATTTCCCTTCATATACACACCTACCCCTCCTCCTTTGGACTTGCAAAGTTTAGCAAAAATGTCTACACTTTCATCATATGACTGCTTCCTTGTAATATGATTGAATTGAAAGTCATCAAATTCAAAATTTTTTATTCTATCATTGTCTGTCAGCCATGTTTCATTGAGACATATAAGGTCTGCTTTGAGGAATCTTGCATCACTTTTCAGGTCAAGAAAATGTGCTCTTAAGCTCTGCACATTAAGTAAAACAACTGTTTTGAAGGTTCGCTCATCATAGTAGTTTGGATAATCTTGCTCTGGGATTAATTTCTCCATCTTACAAAGTGCTGACTTTATATCTGGATTAGCGTAAATTTTTCTCAGTAATGCATTTTCATCCTTTGTTTCTATGAATAAACCATTTTGTGAAGTGACACGGCTAATAGCAACATATGCCTGTCCTGGAGCGAAAGTACGATCTAAATTTACTACAACACTTTTTGTTGTCATGCCTTGAACTTTATGTGCTGTGCATGCCCATGCGAGTTTCAAGGGAAACTGATATCGTACAACATTCTTTGTATTTTTCTCCTTGATGTCTTCTTGTATTCTTTGAATCAATACTTCATTTCCATGTGGCGTCTTTTTCCCTTGCAGCTTTCCAATATCTTCACTATCAAACAAAATTCTAATCCCTTCTACCCTATTTCTTTGCTGAGCTTGTCCAAAATCAAATGCTGAGATATGTCCCATCGCACCATTCACCAATCCGTCTTCAACATTAATATTTCTTGTCAGCATCACTCTAGCATTCACAGAAAACAGCAAAGAAGCAGAGAGCCCATCTGTTCTTGTCCGTATGAAGGGTTTTTCACGTAAAGTCAGCTTTCCTGTAGTGTTGTCTTTTTGATAATCTTCTGCAGATATCTCTATAAGTTCTTCACAACTTGCTTGCAACATCTTGAGATTATACTCATTCGCTTCTTCATTTGTAGGATACACATGCAGTACTTCATCTGGTCCATCTCTGATGCAGTCTTTTAACATTGTTTTCGCATTTTCTGATACTGGTTCTTCAATCGTTCGAACCCGTAGTGAATTCAAAACTGTAGCAAATGCAGCATCATCACGTTGTCTCATTATTTCTTCTAACTCAACAATTTTGAAGAAGTCTAACCAGTAGTCTATGGGATATTCATCATTTTCTTTGTAGAGTATTTCCAACTTTCGTTGTTTCACAGGAGGTAGTTGGTAAAAATCTCCAACTGCTATAACAGAAATACCACCAAAAGGTTCCTTGCATTTCTTGATTTGTACCAGTCGTTCATGAATGTAATACAAAAGTCGTTTGTAAACCATTGAGACTTCATCGATGACTAAAATCTGCAGAGAAGCTAACTTTGCTCTCATTGCACTCAAACTCTGTTCTTTCAGGGGTTCGTATGGAATAGGTAGAGCTTTGGTTAAAGAAAATACGTGGTGAATTGTATTGCCCCCAATATTGAAAGCAGCAGTTCCAGTAAAAGCTGTGAGAAGAACAGATAAATCTGAAGGAGATAAAACAATTTTCTCAAAAATTCGAGAGGCCTCATACTGTATGGTTTTTATCAAGTGACTTTTTCCTGTTCCTGCACCTCCAGTAACAAAGATATGTAATGGGTCTACTTTCCTCTCAGCCACTTTTTTCAAGCACCATTCACGAACTATGTAGAAAACCTGTTTTTGTTTATTATTTAAACTTCGCAGTAAAGGCAAAATTTCTTCCCTTGAGTTTGAACTTTCCCTAATATGGTATATCAAATCTGAAGCGCCATCATGTTCAATTTCATGGGTGATTTCTTGTTCTTTGTTTTCTGATTGTTCTGTTTTCCTCTTTTCCTTTAGACATTCATCTCGATTTCTTTCAGTTTCTGGACAAAGGTTAGCCCAAGCATCTTCAGGTTCACCATAAACTTCTAGAGTTTCCTGAGCATTTTCAAGGGCAGCCTCATTCTTTGAGAAATTACAACGATTATTTTCAACCACAATCCTGACAGACTGTAATTTGTTTCCAGTTCTTATTCTGACAAACCCGTTTTCGTAAAATGCCTGATAAAACTTGAATCCAGGTGGTTTCAATTGATCTTGAGTCCAATATGGAAGAAAAAGCTGTAGTATTGATTGATAATACTTTTCTGATGCATTTTCAGGATTGAACCTTGGATATCTTACTATGGCTGGCTTAGCTCTTGATCTTCTCTGAATATAACCATTTCCATTTTTCAATTCATAAACGCCTTCTTTTACTCCCTTGGGAATTTGAGATTTCGCCAAAACACGATATTCTGAGCAAAATTCTGCAAGGCACATTTCAGGAAAAGGATGTAGATCAGGACGATTTTCATATCTCTCAACTATATTTGTCATCCAAATACTGTCGTCGTCGTCTTCCATATCATCTTCGTTCTTACATGTTCTTTTCATTTGTGAAAGGGGTTTACTCAATCGAGTCGGATTTTCACCAACTGGAACAAACACCACTTTTCTTGATCCTTCTTTCATTTTTAGATTACAAACTCTGTACACTGCTTCTTGGGCACTCACTTCTCTATGATTAAGATAAGCTGATCCAATTCTTTTTATTGTTTGACGAGCACTTAAATTTCCCTCTACAGATTCTACTTGAGTTTGTTTTAACAGCATTCCCATTTCACGTTCTGACTTTGATATGTATGAAATTATGTAAACAATACAGCTAAATGGGTCTAGGATATACTGTATGTCCATATTCGCATCCCAACATCTGAGAAGGCATGTGTTGTATTGGTTTGTCCACATTTCATCTGGATTTCGTTTCAAGATAGTACTTGTTTTTGCAGATAATACCCTGTGGGCCATTTCGTAAGTATCCTGTGATAAGTGCATGTTAGAAAATATTTCCTCTGCAGTTTTGCCTTCATTCTCATCATCAAGAACTTCATTCCAAACATGCAACAAAATGTCTTTAGCCTGAGATTTACTCAATCCATCGAATTTCTCCGAGTCTTCCTCTTTCTCCTCACATTGTCTTGTAATAAATGTTCTTTCTGATGGTGGTCTTGGAAAATGGAATCTACAGTCTGTTCCCTTTTTCCTACAGGATTTTGAATGGTTCTTACTATGTTGTTGAACACCTAAAACAATTTTTCGCAGCTCTTGGTCATCATTTTCAGCAGGTAAAGCGCATGTGATATATTTATCAATAAAATCACAAACAGTTTTATCACCATCTTCCTCAAATTTTGGTGCATTCTCAACCCAGTACAAGCAGTGCATGTGTGGAGAGCCCCTTTGTTGAAATTCTACTCTCACAAAAAAATCAATAACATTTCCTATAGGTTTTGAAGGTGACAATATTACATGTCTTTGAAACATATGAAATCTATGTTCAAACATTCTGGCAACAGTAACTGGATTGCTTCTCAAAATCTCACTCTTTTCTGACCAGTCTAAATCAGAAGGGGATCTAGAATCATTTTCTTGAAATAAAATTGATGCAATTATTTCGTTCCATCTGTATTCAGCTGCAGAAAATGAACAAAACCATGTTGGGATACCTAACTGTCGAAGCATAGCGAACAGATCTTTCTGAGAAGCCGACCAATATGCAGGTGTTCCTCGAATAGGTTGCATAAACCGTAAAGCCTCATCATTTCTTAAGAGTCTTGAGAGAACATCAGGATTCTGTAACATTTCAGATGTTACTGCATTTCCACTATCAAGCTTTGAAAAAGACTTTCGAATTGAAATTTGTGTTTTCTCTATTACTTGGTTCAATTCTGACATGTATTGAGAGAAGAAGATGTAATTTGTGTCCTTAGCAAATCTGTTATCAGCATTCATAAGTCTGTTGTTAAAATATCTTGATAGGGTTATTTTCACATCTCGATCTTCATTCCAAGAAAAGTTGCCACTTGGAAATAAATGTGGAAATGATTTTGCCTCGTTTCCTTCTTCTTGTAACATTCGGACTGGATTTTTCCCTTCGCCTGGTGCTATATTGTAAACATCATCAAAGTAATGATCAAGAACTTCTTGTGCCACATCTACTGGCTGTAAACATGTGTCAGTAGCAACTGGATTTTCATCTCTCTCATCTTCTTTCACTTCTTCATCTACAAATTCACTAGTCTCATTAAATAGCAAATCATTTTGGTCACTATTTCCTTCCCACAAGTTATTGATCACTACGTCTTTATACCATTTGTTTTCTTTCCTTAAATAATCAAGAGCCATGTTAACATGAGTTGGATTAACAAATTGGTATTCGTAATAGCCCTTGTACGCTAGCTTTCGTTTTAGCTTAACTCTTAACAATAAATTGTCATCCCCGTTTCTTGGTAAAGCTGTTGCCTTTTCCATATTTGATGGCACACAAACAACAGGCCCATGTACATTCCTTTGACCACCTTGTGGAAGAGCCATCACTTTCATAAAGGGAATATGCAAAGCAATTAAATGCTGCTCCAAACTGTTTAAACTGCTAAGCTCGCATGGAATTTCCTCTAATGACATTTTATTAACAGCTGCCTCTGCTGGAATATTCCCATTCAATATTTTCCTATGACAAGTAAAGCATATCCACAATGATGAATGGGGGCAATGCACTGGACAAGACAATGTACAATCATGGGAGCATTTTTTCTGTATACAAATCTGTGCAACTTTATAAGCTTCATGTCTTTTCTCATACATTTCAAGTGTGCATCGTTGGACTTGATGTTCAAACAATAAACGATTACAACAGCAACATATGTAGTCTGGGCCATCTCTCACACTTTCCTTAAACAATTTCAAAACTTCTTCTTCATCTTCCAACTTTACTTTTAGTGCTCGTCTCTGATTCAGGACATTCTCCTTCTTCTTCTTTTTCTCAGCAGCACTAAAATGATACTTTACTTTATCAGCAGCTTTTACCTTGTGTTTATGTTCTTCATCATTCTTGTACTTTTCAATACTTCTTTGTTTAACATTCAATCTGTGTGCTTCATCATTTTTGTACTTCTCTATACTCTTTTCTTGATAATTCCTCCTGTGTACTTCATCATTCCTGTACTTTTCTAAACTTCTCCGTTTTAAATCCTCTTTGTGTACTTCATCATTCCTGTATTTCTCTGTACTTCTCTGTTTTACATCCTTTCTGTGCAATTCATCATTCCTGTACTTTTCTTTACTTCTTTGTTTAACATCTTTCCTGTGTTCTTTATCATTCTTGTACTTACTTATACTTCTTTGTTTAACACCCTCTCTATGTACTATATCTGACCTATATTTCTCAATACTTCTTCTCTTCCTGTATTGTTTATGGATACCATCTGTTGTATATTTCCTTTTACAAGCTTCCAAGCTCCTCTGCTTTGCCTTTGCTTTGAAAATTCCATCACTTTTATATCTTTCCTTACCATTTGCGATTGCCTTTAATCTAAATTGAAGGTCAGTCTTGTACCTCAGTTTTGCTGCTCTTAATTTCCTTTCTGAGTAATTTTCATTCTTTAGTTTCTTTTCATGATTTGTACTTAATTTTTTGGCCGATGAAAAGATACGCATTTCCCTCATACGATCTCGATTTCTACGTCTTTCTCTGTAGCCTTTCTTGCCAACATACAGAGCATTATTTGCCATGGTACTAGCCGTTTCTTTCTCAGTAACTGACACCACTACATTATAATGATTCTGATCCTGATGAACTAAATAAAATGATCCTGTGCTTTGAACATTCGAAGGTTCTACCTGTTTTCCTGAGAATGTAACCCAGTGATTTTCTGTATAAGTATGTATATCAGTGCTCAAGAGGTGAGAGAGAGCAAGAATTTCCATTTCAGTTGCCCATGTACCATCGTTTGACATACCTGTTAAATTCAAGTGATTTTCAACAGAACTTTCTGTAGATCTTACAAAAGTTTCAAACAATATTCTATTTTGTAGTAGATGTTTACACACTGCTGATCGTATTGCATAATGATAATCCTCTACTCCAATCAAACAAAATGAAATGGCCCTGAAAAAACAATTTCCATCCCCTTCAATTTCGACATATTCACTAGGTGCACCTGCCTCTTGCACAAAGCAATCCTGTTCAACATTACTATTTGTATCTGACTGTGGTATTCCCAGGACCTGACATAGCTGTAATTTCACAGTGTAAGAAAGTGGCAGAAAACTTATACTATGACTTTCACTGCAAATGAGTTGAACATCATCATTGGCAACTGATTGAAAACCATTAGCATCTGACTGAACATGTGCAGTCAAAAGGTCTATGTTTTCTTGAACTGCTAAATTCAAGCCTTTATTTTGCTGAGTACATTTTCCTGTATGGTAACTGCCTTATGTGGAGAACTTTCATTATATGATGGTATTTTATCTTTATATGATGGTATTTTATCTTTATATGATGGTATTTTATCTTTATATGATGGTATTTTATCTTTATATGATGGTATTTTGTCATTATATAATGGTATTTTATCATTATTTGATGGTATTTTGTCATTATATGATGGTATTTTATCTTTATATTGGTATTTTATCTTTATATGATGGTATTTTGTCATTATATGATGGTATTTTATTTATATGATGGTATTTTATCAAATTCCATTATATGATGGTTATATATCTACTTTTTTCTTTATACCTGACCGTCAAGCGAAAACCACCCCAAAATTTTGACATTTTGCTGAAAGACAATTTTCTCCTTTTTCAAATGATATATAACATGTTTTTGTTCATGACTAAATATTAGGAAATTTTTCAAATAAAAAATACAAATTTCCCTCATGACGCTGTGATTTATGTCGATTACTTTGTTCTCACATTTAATGTTTGTGTTTTCAAGAAAAATCACCTTGGACAACAAATGACTTTAAATAAGTGATTTTTATTGAATAATTTTGTAATTCTTCCTTTTCATTAGGTATATTTTTAGCATTTTAGAAGAAAAATCAGGTTTTTACCCCCCCCCCCCCCCCTAAAATAGAAACACGAAATCACAAGATGTTTTGTTTCTTTTTACAACCATCGGTGTCAGTTTATTTTTCTTTTTACTATTGTGCATTCAATGCACTTTATCTGTTAATATGGTCTATGCTTGTAAAATCCGGAAAACTCGGATTCACTTTCAATACACATTTCAGATCAGATAGATGGTTTGAATGCTTTTTTGTTTCAGAAGTCTTTTTTCTTTGTGATTGAACAATTTGAACAATTTCATGATCATGGTATGTTCATCATATGAATGAAAGTAACTTTCTAATTGATAATACCATATCTAAATTTAAAAGACCACAGAAAAAGTTTTCCTGAAATTATGTCTGCTAATAAGGGGCATTCTGATAACAAACGGCCTTATCATTTTCCTGAAGAGATTGATTGTATACCTTTCATAATCCTTTTGAGAATTTTTTTTACTCATACAATGGAGACGCCAATGCTTTCCATTGGAGAAAAATTTTGTCCTACACTCGGCACTTAGGGCCACTGAGCAGGTAGGGATCTTTTTTGTGCCAGCGCCTACTGCGGCTTTATAATGATCCATGTCTGCGGTGATCGAACCCCTGAGATGAGAGAGCATATTATTTCACACATGAATTAAAAATGTCAAAAATACTTTCCTTGTTTTTTTTTTGCATTTGAACTATTAATCTCGAAAAAATGGCCTATGCAAGAGCTTGTAGGTAAAAATGCATATAATACCATTGCAATATAATTTTATCAGTTAAACTTTAAATTTGTAACTTCCAGTGATTTTCTGTTGGAAAGCAAGTTCACAAATGTCAACTTCTCTCAGTGTCTCACATATTTTACTTATTATTACCAGCACCCACCAACTGAGAGAGAGCAAAGTAAGGACATGCATAGGAAGTAAAATTTTTTGCCGGATAGCAAGTCTTCATGATGATTAAATTCTCTTTCAGGAAAAGAGTGATTTGAAAATAATTGACAATGTATTTTACCTGCTTGATTGTAGCCAAGAATTTTACTAAAATTAAGACAATTACATGCATAACCTTATAATTACCTACATGTGTATTTGTTAAATCGTTATTTGCAGGGTGGCTAAGTCCATATTTACCTGACCAGAATGAAAATTTCCTACAATAAAATTTTTAAAACGTTAAATTTAGAGGCAAGTGAAGCTTTCAACATGCGTTTCGTGCACCTGGCGTGGCATTCGATCTTTTTATATACATGTATATAGATAAAGCATTGTCACATGTACACTTTAAAATAATGTTCTATTTCGCCTATAGAATCTATGTTCACACACTGACCTGATCGTCGCACATTAATTCTCGACAGATGCATAATTTAATTGACATAGACAATTCGTGCAAAAATCATTGAAACAATCCTTTTGAGAGATAGAGAGAAAGAGAGAGAAAAAAGGAGAGAGTTTTATATCATGTACTAAGTATACCATACATGGTCAAATATGTATCAAAAAACAATGTATATTGGTCAAAGCGTCCCCTGATTTTAGTCAAAGCGCCCGGTGCAAAGCACCCCCTAACATAACAATCAAAGTGCCCCCTGATTTTGGTCAAAGCGCCCCCTAACATATTTAGAAAAAAAGTACCCCTTCAATTTCAACATATTCACTAGAATTAGGTGAACGCTTTGACCAGGACGTTTTTATTCTTTGAATAAAATCAGGGGACGCTTTGACCAATAAGCAGTATTTTTTTTATAAAATTATTTTTATCAGGGGGCGCTTTGACTGGCTCCCCTAGACGCTTACACCTGTTCATTACACTTTACTATTTGTGACAACCCTCCTTTTTTTACGATCTTTGAAATAAATGCATGGAGACATTTTACTGTGGTATATGGAGTTTAACTTTATTCAATGTAATGATATTACTTAGAATATACTATAGAAGGGGCTTCTAAATTAGTCTATCCTATATTTGAATAAACAGGAAATGTATAAAATTTTAACATCCGGTGATGTTAATACATTCGAATTTGTTTTTCCAACCTCTAACGGAAAGACCCGCGATGATGCGATTGCAAATTGGTGCTATAGAGACAAGCGTCTGGATGATCGAGACTACAAATAATGACGAAAAAGTAGTAGCATATAATGAAAAGTAGTATAAAGAAGAAAAGTAGTATAAAGAAGAAAAGTAGTATAAAGAAGAAAAGTAGTATAAAGAAGAAAAGTAGTATAAAGAAGAAAAGTAGTATAAAGAAGAAAAGTAGTAGCATATAATGACAAAATACCATTCACTGCAAATGAATACCATCATATAAAGATAACATCATCATTGACACAACCATCATTGACAAAAACCATTAATGCATCTGACTGAACATTTGCAGTCATAAAGGACTATGTTTTCTTGAAATGACAAAATACCATCATATAAAATTCATAATATAAGATAAAATACCTTTATTTTGCTGAGACAAAGTACATTTTCCTGGCTCAATTTCAATTACATGTTTATCAGTTGTTGCAAACTGGCTAACTGAACAATCAACACCTGTTATTTCACATTCAGTAATTCCAGAAATTCCCATTGACATTGCCAAGGACAATATGTGATTGTAAATATCATCAACCGATTGATACAGTATCCTTGTACTCCTTCCAGTTACACTCATACAACCCGATTGTGACCGTGAATGTGGATCAAATGTGAAGAACCCATCCTCTGTTTTTCCAACCAAAAAAGTATTTCCCTTGAAGCATACAAAACACCCACTTGTTTCTCCAAGACCAATTTGCAATGCATCTGTCAGTGAATATGCATTAAATTCATCATAGTTTGGTTCTACATGTGACAAATTTATTAGGCTGCATAAAGATTCGCATGCTTTGAACTCAAACGTTGTATTAAAACACTCAAAAAATTGAGGCAACTCATTCACAAAAAGATACCTACTGACAATGGTTGAACTATGCTGCAAGTATGTATAAAGCTCATCTCCTGTTGCTAACACTTTATTCATATCTGAAGTTTGCCACTGATTAGAATTCTTTACTTTATGGTATGCTAATGCTGCTAGCGAGTTCGCAACACATTGTGTTCCTGCATTTTCACCAAACATTAAGTCACCTTGATGAAAAGACCCTTGAATAGATACCTTGTCCAATGTTACTGGTCCATCATTACTTACACAAGCATAGTCACCACCAAGTTCACCAGTACACAGTCTTCCAATTCTGCACTCTGATCTATTTCTCTCATATACACTATCTATATTCTCATTTTCATCATGTAAATTCCTTTTAGTATTCCTTTTAGATATCGTTCTTTTACTCTGGTTTGCATCAATCAATCTCCTGCTGGACTCATCCCCCTTGGAGGATGACATATCCAGCTGCGCCTGACCTGCTGAGCCAGACACGTGCACGGTGTCCAGCTCAGGTACCCTCGGCGAGGTACAAACCCACGGTGGGGAGTCAGGGGACGGTGCCATGCCTCCGTTTCGGGCACACAGACGACTTCCCTGAGAAGATGCGTTACTCAGGGCAGTTGGTTGCATTTTCTCGCGAAGAGAGGCCTGCAACCTGGCCAAGGGTTTTTCCTCAAAAGGCGGCAACCCTATAGAGCCTTGCCCCGGAAAATTACCGGGTGGAGCTGAGATAGCTCCATCTACTGCTCCAGCTGGGACAGCAGAATCTGGAGGAGGATCTGATGGTGGCAAGGACTGCTCCTGCCTCTTTTCCCTCTTGCGGTCTCTATCTCTCTGGCGTTTTTCCCTGCCATTCAAGGTCTTTCTTTTTGGCATCTAAAAAATAAAACATTTTTCCCATATATCAAAACAAGATATTCATGTTAAATTAGATAAGGATACCAAATAAAGAATTTAATCACCTTGCACTACATAAAAATGTCTTTTATGTTCTACACTTTAAGCTATGGCTATTAACAGGATAAATATGTATATGTACAAAATTTGGTTTATTCAAAATTTAGTGCAATCTATGGATATACAGTTGTTGGCTTAATCATGAATTAGCGCTACACATGTCTATGATGAATATCTGTATATTGTATTTGTAAATTATTTCTTTAGCAGTAGTGAATTTAAGTCCATCATTGTCTGCGCCAAAGCTGCTTAATAATGAAGCACTCTTTTTAAGTACACATACAGTACCCCTTTTAGGCCTAAAATAAAAATTTGTTTGGTTGCAGTTGCTTCTAACCCAGTGAAAATGCACTGACATTAACTTTCTTTTACTCATTTTGTTAAAAAAAAATGATAATTAAATTTTTCAGGAAAATGGAATTGTTTCATTTACAATTTTTGACTTTCGTTTTTATCAATCAGTGGTTTAAAACAAGAGTGGAGCTTATTTATGTTAAGTAGGCCTATGAAAAGCTCTTTTATTTGTTATCTAACAAAAATCCTTAAATTCTTTTTTTAAAGAAGAAAAGAATGCCTACCTACCTAACCAGTCTAAAAATTTGTTATCTAACAAAAATCCTTAAACAATTCTTTTTTTAAAGAAGAAAAGAATGCCTACCTACCTAACCAGTCTAAAAATTATTAGTCAGCAACTGCAAACAAAGAATTTTTTAAGCTTGGCCTTATCAATAACTTTACCATTAAACTTTAATCACAGTTCTAAAACAGCTTTGCATTGTTTACAATTGTAATGTCTTTACAACAGTGCAAGGTATAACTAGGACAGATCTTAATAATCAAATTTAAAGAATTGTGGTACCCCACTTTCTTGGTCAGTTCAATGTTACGATGCAATTAACAGTGGGAATATTGTCTTGTCTGTATGTCTTGTCTTGTTCTAACATTAAAAAAGAATCTTTTTTTTTAATTAATAACAGGAATGACCAATTTTTTTTTGTAAATGAATTAAACTTCAATTATAAGGTCAAGTGATGAGTAATGTGCCTGTAAAATATGACTCCCATATCTTTTCTTATGTAAAAGTTATGACCATTGCCTGTATGGTGCAGTGGATAAATGTGTCCACTCTTGTATTAACCAAGGTCCAGTGATGGGAAGGTCACAAGGTCAAAAACTGTAAGAAATATCCCTGCTCTGCTGTGAATATACAGTCTGATATCAGATATGTATCTAAACAAGTTCTGTTATGGATAGACACAGGGTTGAACCCCGTGGGGATCCAGGTTAGAATAGGTCTTCCATACCCCCTTGCTTGTCATAAAAAGTGACTAAATGGGGCGGTCCTTCGGATGAGACCGTATATACCGAGGCCCCGTGTCACAGCAGGTGTGGCACGATAAAGATCCCTCCCTGCTCAAAGGCCGTAAGTGCTAAGCATAGGCCTAAATTTGCAGCCCTTCACCGGCAATGGTGACGTCTCCATATCAGTGAACTATTCCGGAGAGGGACGTTAAACAGTATACAATCAATCACAGGGTTGAATGGGGTTGATCAAATTTGTACAAAAATGATTATAAACAAATATTTGTCTATATATGTTATGGACAGTTCTATTTTTCAGTTGATTACTCCATGGACCCAGCATGCATCGTCAAAGTTTGTTGATCAAGGCCAATAAGTAAAGTTGACTTACTTGTAAGTGAACATGATATGAGGTCTCAAAAAGTTGCTTCAATTGACAATCCAGGATTTGGATTTGATTAGTGGGTCCAGGGCAAATGGGCGAAGCCCCCGGAAACTCTTGGAAAGATTTTGAAGAAAATGAGGTCTACAAATGCTTGATTGACAATATTTGATTAATAAACCTAGTCCTTATCAAACTTTTAACACAACATTCAATTTCCAATTTGCTTAATTAATTTAGACATCAAACAAGAGACCCATAGGCCACATTGCTCACCTGAACACATTGGCTGGGAAAAATCATGTTAATATAAATAAGTTCAATTACAGGTAGATGAACAGAAAATATGAAGTTGACATCAGATTCATATCAAAATTAATCCCACCATATGGCATGCCTCAAGAAAGAGTGTACTAAAATTTCAAGCATCTGTTATGAATAGTTAAAGAAACTGTGAGGAAAATTTGTTATGTATGAAACAGACGCACAGACAAACATGATGTTAACATTGGATTTGAACAAAAATATATCCCACTATATGGCATGCCTCAGGGAAGATTGTGTAAAAATTTCAAGTATTTGCGATGAGTAGTTGCTGAGAAAACTGCGACGAAACCTTGTTTTGTATAAAACGGACAAATGCACAGACAAACAGGAAGTTGACATCAGATTTGACCAAAAATGTATCCCACTGTATGGCATGCCTCAGAGAAGATTGTGTTAAAATTTCAAGCTTCTACAATGAGTAGTTGCTGAGAAAACTGCGACAAAAATTTGTTACAGACAAAGGGACACACAGACAGACAGACACACAAGGGTAAAACAGTATACACCCCTATTCTTTGGAGTGGAGGTATAATAAACGGGGCTGGACACTTTGAGAGGGGTGAGAGAGGTCCTAGGGAGTTCTGGTATAAAATATTACATTGCAAAAGCTCAAAATCCTCTTGAAATATCGCCTGGAAAGGATAGGGTTACACATAGACAATGTATAAATTTACAACCTTGAACTTTGACCTTTTGACCCCAAAATCAATAGCGGTCTTCTTTAGTCCATAGGGAGTTAATATGCAAAATTTCATTGCAAAAGCTCAAAGGGTTCTCTAGATATTGTGTGGA